GAGTACAGCCTGTACTTCACCTTTAAACCTACCAATAGGATGATGTTTCTTTCACTTGTATGGTATTCTGATTACAAGACTTTCCAGATATTCCTCCTTCCCCAACCCCCCTTCAGCTGCTTCTGCCAGAGGACTACACCGAACATGAGGTCAAATTAAAGGCATTTCCTTCAAGACGATTTTCCTGTCGGATAAGATATGTTTTATCCTCTATATGTGTGAATGTATAGCAGAGCTACTGAACTATATTATTAAAGGATACGTTCACCTTTGAGAACATGTTATATGTTCCATCCATTTTTAGGGCCTATTGTCAGATGATGGCCGAGCGAACACTTCGTCCCTCCGGGAGGGTGTCATATGAAGTCCTTCCCGGATTGCGCAGTGCGATACACGCAGGGCTGCGCTGCGGCGCGATCTGTCGCTGGCCATGTACCTCGGACGCAGCCAATGACAGATCTGTGTACTGGCCCCGTTGCTAGTACCATGTGACCTGCTGTGACCAATCACAGCAGGTCACATGACAGTTGTATACAATCGATGGCTTCCTTTAATGACATCCATTGTATACAAGTGTGTCTAGCTGTGAATGGCGATCAACTGTACAGGCTGGGCCAACTACAGCCCATTGTGTCATGTGATTAGCCGTGGCCAATCACAGCTAATCACAACAAAAAAATCTGAATTAATCGATTTCATTCAGTTAAATGCTTGCTTATAGGAAATAAATTCTTTGCTATAAGCAATCAAATTGTGTAAAAAAAAAAAAATACTGATCACTTCCCCAAAGTAGTTCAGTGTTACTATGGTAACATTATACTACGTTGGTCATAGCGTAATATGAAAAACAAAAACTTTAAAAAAGAGAAAAAAATTTAATAAAAAAATAAAATATAATAATAAAAAAATAAAAACAATTGAAAAAAATTATCAATTTTTTTTTTCGTACTGTCACCAGTCAGTGTCCCTGATCACCACCACACCAGTTATCTGCTGACAAAAAAATTACAACTTCAAAAAACTCGCCATGCCAAAACATCAGACTGTCTACTTTGCAAAAAGCCAGGTCTTCTTGGAGAAGTTGGTTGAGAAGACCTGGCTCATTCCAGTTCATCTAAAAGGGTTATGTAGGGCTAAGGTTAGAGCTTTGTGTAGGACATTTGAGTTCCTCCACATAAAACTCATCAAACTATGCCTTCATGGAGATGTTGGTAGAGAAGATCTGGCTCATTCCAGGTCATCCCATATGTGATCAGTAGGGTTGAGGTCAGGGTTCTGAAGGCCACTCGAGTTCCACCACACCAAAACTCATCAAACCATGTCTTCATGGAGATGTTGGTTGAGAAGAACTGGTTCTACTAGGACCTGGTTCTACTAAGTGTTGCTTGCATTCTGGAACTATTTTTACTCTGCATCTGAATAAAATTTTCTACAATTCATCTTCACCTTGTTGCCGATCCTATGTGATTTGACTTACTGGTTCAGTGGATGGAAACTGCAGGAGACGCACAGTGAGATATATACTCCTTACGGAAAACATGCTATGAGGGTTGCAGCACCTATTCCTTGTATGTGTGATTTGGGACACTCCAAAATTATTGGAAATCCTCCTCAAAAGAGTGGAGTCTGTTGCCGCTAAGAAGGGCTAATTTCATATTAACCTCCTCGGCGGTATGATTCTTTCCGATTTTTTGTGCTGAAAGCGGTACCATTTTTTTTGCATGGAAATATGTAGTTTTTTATTGTAGGCTGTAATTTTTAGGAATAACTCACTGAAATCTGTCCGAACAAGAGTCTAGTAAACATCCCGGGGAGGATAAAACTTGAAACACGAAATCATAAATTATAATTTAATAAATAATCAAAAAAAATAATAATATAATAATAATTAATTTAATTCAATAATATAATCAAACCAAAAACACTGAAATGTGAAATAGAGCGCCAAGTTCGCACATCGCTGAGCAAAGTCGCAACATCGTTTTCAGTGTCTGATGATGAATTTCCTCCACGAATCATTATCACTCAATTCTGCAAGTGGTTCTGATTTACTATCGCTGTTCTCTAGCCGGTCTAAAACCGCTTTTGACGTAAAGGGACGCTTTTTGGACGCCATGGACTTTTCTAAGTTTCCAGGCAGAAAGAACAGTCAAAATGCAGGCAGGGCGCCGGACAAAGCACTCGGGACAAAATATATGTGAAATGCATTGAAACAGCAATGACAGCAAAAATGAAATTTTTTTAAAATTTCAAATTTCCCGCCGGTTCCAGCGCCCGTACGTCACGACGTCACAGGGACCGGAACACGGAAGCCGGATGCCGGCATCGGCCGAAGGAGATGGCCGGGGACGCTGCAGGGGACACATCGCGGGAGCGAAGGACAAGGTAAGTGCTGCAGGGACCCCCTGAGCAACGCCGCATGGTAAGCCCGAGTGTAGCTCGGGGTTACCGCTCTTGGTATTGAAATTTTACCCCGAACTACACTCGGGAATACCGCTAAGGAGGTTAATGCCCATGGTTTTGAAATAGGGTGTTCACCAAGCTCAAATGTGATGGTCAGGTGTCCACAGACTGTTGGCCATAAAGTGCATCTCTTTTGTAATAATAATAACATAATAATAAATGCCAACTGATAACACAGATTCAGTTGCAGAAATCCTATGCACTTCTTGTGGAGATGGTGTAAACCATGTGCTTGTGGTCATTGTGGCACCACATATTTGTATTAGTTGGCTGTTTTTCTGACTCGCCGATGTTGTAAGTGTCACCTGATACAGAGTTTTTGTATGGTTGAAAATGTGACATGTATTTCCTTGTTTGCTTAAATGCCAACAGGAACCTATTGTTCATCTTACATACATGTTCAGGCCATTCTTGGGTAATATGTAGGTTAATGGTCGTACAGAACAGAAAGGAAAGCTTTTATGTGTCCATGCTTTCAGGAATACAATCTGCTTGATGTACATGACCTTTTCAGTATATATCAAGGTATTTATTTATTACAGGTACTTATATAGCACTGTCAGTTTTACACAGTGCTTTTTCATATATACAGTATATATACATATATTGTACATTCCCATCAGTTCCTAACCCTCAAGGAGTGTACAATCTAAGGTCCCTAACTCACATTCATACACATACTAGGGCCAATTTAGACAGGAGCCAATTAACCTGCTAGCATATCTTTGGAGTGTGGGAGGAAACCAGAGTACCCGGAGGAAACCCACGCAGGCACAGGGAGAACATGCAAACTCCAGGGAGGTGATGCTGTGGCTGAGATTTGAACCAATAACCCTAGTACTGCCAGGCAGAAGTGCTAACCATTTAGTCACTGTGCTGCCCAAGGTATGAGCCCTCACGCACACGGGGCGTTTTTACAGCGGCTGTTTTTGGCTTTGACGTTTTGTTCTACAGCCAGTAAACCCCCCAACATGTTATCCTATGTGTCCATACACACATAGACTGTAATCAACATTTTTTGGTTGGAAAAGAAACAAAACCGGTGGGTTTCTGGAGTTTTTTCAGCAGTAAAAACTCTAACACTGAAAAACGCGGCAAAACATGGTGGAACACCGCAAACTGCTGTTTTTTTTTTGTCAAAGAATCGCTTTAAAATGCTAAAAAAATAAAAACCGCAATCGCGGAAAAGAGATTCTAATCGCGGCAAAATGCCGCTAATCGCTAATGCAAAAATGCAAAAAAGCTGAAAAACTCACGTTTTTAACATGACTTTACACAGCTAACATTACCAGCGTTATCAAAATGTCCCGTGTGCGTGAGGGCGAAGTCCTCCTAGCATGTTATCCTATGTGTCCATACACACACAGACTGTAATCAACATTTTTTCACAGGGATGTTTTATGGCTGGAAAAAAACCTGGGACTCGTGAGTTTCTAGAGGAGTGTTTTAGCTGTAAAAACACTCTAACGCTGAAAAAAGCAACAAAACGGTGTTTTTTTACTTTTTTTGACCCAAAAAAGCTAAAACTGCAAACGTGGGAAAACACCGCTAATCGTGGCAAAACGCCACTAGACGCTAATCCAAAAACGCACGTTTTTAACATGACTTTACACAGCTAATGTTACCAGCGTTATCAAAACGTCCATGAGGGGTAAAGATCCTGACAGAGTTTTCAGATTGTCTATATCTGCTGCACAGTAACTGTGCTTTACCGTTTCCTTAGCTGGTCAAAGATTGTAATAACAAGCATTAAAGCTTTTTGACCATCCGGTCCTGAGGTCTCAACAGCTCCGCCTGACAGCAAAGCCCTGTGTGGTGGGACGGGAGACCTGATTTTTCTTTGCTGCAGTTCAGTAACACTTACATATCTATACCCTTCCCTAGCCTGTGACTGAACAGTGAAATGAGAAGCAGCCGACTAGTGAGCTCATCATTCTGTCACTCTCCTCCTATCAGCTTGTTCCTTGTAAGCAGTACAGCAGATTGGCTCCTTATGTTGCTTCTCCCTCTCCTATTCTGAGCCCTGCTGTATAGGGATGGGAAGAGACTGATATCAAGTCAAATCCAGATACTTACACTGCTTGCATTATCTATCTATCTATCTATCTATCTATCTATCTATCTATCTATATTCAGTCATATCTGACCCTTAGCAATTGCATGGACTGTCACTCGCAAGCGACTTTTTCTATGAATTCTCTTAGCAATTATTTTTACAGGGTAGGTTGCCAGGTCTTTCTTTCCCCAACCCCTACCATGCAGGAGATCGCGCTTGGCCAGGGACAATTTAGACAGGAGCCAATTAATCTACCAGCATGTCTTTGGTGTGTGGGAGGAAACCAGAGTACCCAAGGGAAACCCATGCAGGCACAGGGAAAACATGCAAACTCCATGTAGGAGGCACCATGGTCAGAAATCAAACCCATGACCCATTTACTGCAAGGCAGACATGCTAACCACTAAGCCACTGTGCCGCCCGCTTGCATTATATTAAAGTATAATTACTAATGAATACAGAGATGCAATAATTTGTTCCGATTTTATTTTATTAACCTCCCTGGCGGTATTCCCGAGTGTAGCTCGGGGTAAAGTTTCAGTATCAAAAGCGGTAACCCCGAGCTACACTCGGGAATACACTGCAGCGTTGCTCCGGGATCTCTTCTGCACTTACCTTGTCCTGCGCTCCTGCGATGTCCCCCCTGCAGTGTCCCCGGCCATCTCCTCCTCCCGATGCCGGCATCCGGCTTCCGTGTTCTAGTCCCTGCGAGCGTCGGGACATACGTGACGTACGGGGGCCGGAACCGGTGGCAAATTTGAACATTTTAAAAACTGATATTTTCTAATACACTAAAATCACATAGTATAACATTCCTGTATCCAACCATTTCACATACATTTTGTCCCGAGTGCTTTGTGCGGCGCCCTGCCTGCATTTTTACTGTTCTTTCTGCCTGGAAACTGAGAAACGTCCATGGCGTCCAAAAAGCGTCCCTTTAGGTCAAAAGCAGTTTTAGACCGGCTAGAGAACAGCGATAGTAAATCAAAACCACTTGCAGAATTGAGTGATAATGATTCGTGGGGGAAATTCCTCATCAGACACTAAAAACGATTCTGCGACTTTGCTCAGCGATGTGCGAACTTGGTGCTCTATTTCACATTTCAGTGTTTTTGGTTTGATTATATTATTGAATTAAATTTATTATTATTATATTATTATTTTTTATGATTATTTATTATATTATAATTTATGATTTCGTGTTTCAAATTTTATCATCCCCGGGATGTTTACTAGACTCTTGTTCGGACAGATTTCAGTGAGTTATTCCTAAAAATTACAGGCCTACAATAAAAAAACTACATATTTCCATGCAAAACAATGTACCGCTTTGAGCACAGAAATACTGACATAATCAGACCACTAGGGAGGTTAAAGGTACAGTTGCACTTTAAAGCTCTGTGCAAATATCAACCTAAAGTAAGGCAGTTCTATGGTCAGTAATACATCATTCAGTACCAGTTCACACTCCATGCATTTCAGGTGCGTATTTTTCTGCATCCAAAACGCACAGAAAGTAGGTGATAGGGTTGTCAATGTCATAGTTCACATCAGTGCTTGCAGTTCCAGTGTGTTCCAGGTGCAGAAAGAAAAGTAGAACAGGCTGCATTTTTTCTGCTCAGAACTGTACTGCATCAAAAACACACCAAAAACACACCAGAACCTATTTAAATTGAAGAAAAAGAGAGAGGAAAAAAATGAACTGGAATGCATAAAAACCGCACTGGAATGCATCAAAAACGCATCAAAAACATGCATGCAAAAACGTATCCGGAATGCATCTGGACTGCGTTTCTATAGTGTGAACCGGCCCTAAAGGTATTTTTTTAATGCAAGCAGTGTAAAGTCGGCCATACACGGATCGAAATCCATCGGTTCAGCAGGGCCTGGCCAAATTTCAATCCATCTATGGGCAAGGAGGTTGTACAGAAGTCAATCTACCGATCAGCATCTGTACAAACACACCGCTTGATAAGCGCTGTAGGCTATAGCCTGCGATTCTGATCAGTGTATTCTGACAGCAGGGAAATCTCCCCCCTGTCAGAATACAAAAGCTCAGTGGGGAGGATTCCCCAATCCACATTAATGCAGGCCATACACGGGTCAAATCCTGAATGAATTTTCTTTATAAAATTGGAAATTTTGTGCGTTTTGTAACCTGATGGCGCCACCATTGATTTCGAAATTCAACCATGTTGCTACAGAAAAGAGTTTTCCAAGAAATTTTTTTTCTTTCCAGGTCACAGCTCACGCTCGTTTCTTTTTCGATTACATTTCTCGCACGATTCTCCCATTATTGATTTTGAAATTTGACCAACCAAGCCTTCAATTCCCCCTCATATTGCTACAGAAAATAATTTTCCTGGCCAAGAATTTTCTCCCATCGTTGATTAGAAATTCGTTCATTTTTCAAAAAAATTCCAACATGCCCGATCACTCAAATTCGATGGTCGCACGAAAATCAGCCGTTTCTGTGGCCCCACTAATGGTGCGAAATTCAAACGAAAATTCTTAGAAAAGATTTTCTAAAGAAAATTATTTCGGAATTCAACCAGTGTATGGCCGGCATAAGTGTGGATAGGGAAATTGAGTCAGTTTTATTTTCATTTGAACGAAAAAAGTTTTTTTTTTAGTTTGCTGTTTGAATGAAAAAAACGGTATCACCTATGGGTTGTTTCATGCAGGCCATAGACGGGTTGAAAACCGGCCGTTTTAAAAAAAAAAAAACAAAAATCGGTCGTTCAATAGGCCGACATTACCACCAACGGTAAAAAAATCGGCCAATTTTCGTCCCGTCTATGTCCGGCGTTTAATTACTTCTGTCCCTTGCAGAGAGCTCCGCTATTAGATTTGACATGAAAAAGTATTGCGGTTGCAACAATGTATCTATTTGTATCCAGTTCGGATACAGATGTTTTTATTCGGATACAAATAGATACATTGTTGCAACCGCAATACTTTTTCATGTCAAATATAATAGCGGACTGGAATTCTTCTTTTTCTTCTTCTTTTTCTTCCTCTTGCAGGTCACAGCTCACACGCAGATGTTTTATCGGTAAAAAAATCGGCCGATTTGCCCATCATTGCCAGGAAAATTGGCCGATCTGCAAAATTGGCCAATTTTTTTCCAACTTCACCGATAAAGAAAAGTGCCAAAATCCCAAAAAATGGCCAACCAATTAACCCACTAATGGTGCGAAAATCGGCCGATTTGTTTTTCGGCTGAAAAATCGGCCAATTTTTGAGCCGTCTATGGCCTGCATTAGTATCTGAATTTGACCTGGCATCCCTCTACGGCAGTACTGGAGCTTGAGAGGAGGAAGCAGCACAATGAGTCAATCGATTCACCTGCTAACAAAAAACAGTATCATCTATGGGCTGCTTTAGTAACTGAATTTGACCTGCCATCCCTGTACAGCAGGACTGGAGGGTGAGAGCAAGAAGCAGCACAAGGTGTTAATCAGTTTATGTGCTGGCAAGCATGCTGATAGGAGGTGAGAACAGAGTAACAGAGAGATGAGCTCATCACTGTGCAGCTTCTTTTTTCACTGTCCAGTCCCAGGCTGGGGGTTGGGTCCAGTAGGATTTGGGTTCAGAAGAAGTGGGTTGAATGATTTTGGCCATCAGACAGAGGACATCTAGTGGCAGAAAAAAAAGAAATCTCAACTAAAACTTTAAAAGAGAAGTATGGTCAATTTTTTTTCTTCAAATCATACCTACCTAGGTGGATGCAGCATCGGTCTGAGGCTCTAAGGGTGAGAACACAGCGATCACATGACCACTGATCGCTGAGTTCCCACAGCAGAGATAGGGTCTGTCAGTCACCACTCTCTGTTTAGCCCCTCCCCAGTGGCGTCCCTAGGCAGGTTCGGGGGGTGCGCGCCACACCGGGTGACACCTACCACACAGGGTGACACTGGACCCGCTCTACCAAAAGCTAAGTTGTATAGAAAGCTGACGATCCACACAGGATGGATCGGATCTGCGGATTGAGCATAATGGATCGGAGTCCTAGCCATTATGCTCCCCAATCCTCAGATCCAATCCATCCTGCGGGGATCGTTGGCTTGCTTTACAACTTACCTTTTCGTGGAGCGGGTCCGGTGTCACCCCGTATAGGTTGCATGCTGACGATCCCCGCAGGATGGATAAGATCTGCGGATTGGGGAGCATAATGAATCGGACTCCGATCCATTATGCTCAAACCACAGATCCGATCCATCCTGTGGGGATTGTCGGAGGGGGTGTCACCAAGTGTTATCGCACCGGGTGACACCAACCCTAGGGACGCCTCTGCCCCTCCCCCAGTGCTCATTGGAGCACTGGACTGTGGAGGGGGAGGGAGCGGTTGGCTCAGGCTCTCAGTGGATTGCTGAGAGGCTGAGCCAGGTGCCGCTCCAGACTCTGGGGTGGATCCCAACTTTGAAGTCGGGATCTTTCCCAGCCTGGACCGGCGGAATGACGTCACAGGAGTGCAGAACAAACTACACTCCTGTGATCCGCAGGAGAAGTACAGCCAAAAGAGCTTTGCCTGTACTGCTCCTTTAATATTGCAGCAAAAGCTGTTATTTTATCTTTTAATGAGCTATTCATTTTCCTCTTGTTATTTTTGGCTGGAGTTCGGCTTTAAACCAATTGTAAAGTTAATTTTTTTTTAAATAAAATAACAGACATGTTATACTTACTTGCTGTATGGAATGGTATTTGCACAGAGAGGCCCTGAACCTTTTGGGGTCCCCCACTGGCGATGATGGCAGCGCAAGCCACTTGCTATGGGGGCAGACATATAGGCCTGTTGCTGAGCTAGGCTATGTGCATCCATAGACACATACAGCGCTGTTCAGCCCCACCCCCTGCTCCCTCGTCACAGGATTTGATTGGCAGCAGCAGGAGCTCTGTCTCTGAACCTGTGAGGAGAAAAGAGAGACCACCACCGCTGCAGATGGACAGAGTGCTGGATTGAGATCAGACCCAGGAGAGTATATAGGAAGGAGAGGGGGCGATACAATTACTGGGACATATTTTATCTTAAAGTGGTTGTAAACCCTTCCATATACCCAGTGAAGTGACTGGCCTCAGGTGATACACAAATTAAACAAATCCTCCTACACAAGTTGTACCTGTTTATCTGCAGTCTTCTCTTCTTTACATCAGTTCAAAGTGCTGGATTTATAAGTCATCATGCACATTGGATGTTTTTACAGCGGCTGTTTTTGGCTTTTGATGGGTTTTTTTTCTACAGCCAGTAAACCCTCCAGCATGTTATCCTATGTGTCCATACATACATAGACTGGAATCAACGTTCTTTGGCTGGAAAAAAAACCCAGGACTATTTTTAGCTGTAAAAATGCTCTAACGCTGAAAAATGTGGTAAAACGCTGCAAACCGGTGTTTTTGAACTTTTTGGCCAAAAAAACGCCAAAAGATGCAAATGTGGAAAAACGCAGGAAAACACTGCTAAACACATAAAAACCCCACTAAACGCTAATGCAAAAATGCTAAAAAAAAAAGCTAAAAAACTTTACACAGCTAAAGTTACCAGCGTTATCAAAACACCCCGTGTGCATGGAACCGCTTGTCAAAGTTCAGAAAAAAGGGGCGGAGAGCTGAAATTACACCCTGCAGGGCTCAGTGAGGGGAGTTCTGAGAGCTGATTGGAGGGAAGAGACACCCCCCCCCCCCCCTCCACACAGCTCACAGGAGCAGAGCTGAGGCTGTCAATCTGCTGGAGCTCCTCCCCGTCACCATTTTTCTCATGGTGTCAGGAAAACTTGTAAGAAATGATTCATGCTGATAGCAGAGGAAAGAGGTAGCAGACAGAAATGACACTTAGTGCTTTG